AGAGAATTATATTGTAATTTAATCTCCTAGGGACTAGGTTTTTTATGTTCTCAAGACAATAATTAATCTCTACAGAACGTTGAAAGGAAACAATTAAAACTAACAATTAAAAAAAACCCCATACAACACACTAATGATTATTGTCTTTACAGTGTGTCAAGTAGAAAGTACTATAACAAACAAAATACCATAATTTATGAAATAATTATGAAAAAAAATCTGAAAAAATAAAAATCTTCAACTCCATGTTGCAGTATGAAAACAACCTCACGATCGCATGTGTGAGTCACAGAAGTGACAATTCTGAAATAATGCAAGTATTTCCTTACACTATTCATTTCACAAGGTATTCCAGACTAACTTCTTGCAGGACATGTAGAGCTAGACTTCCATTTTGGGGGGTATTATTTCCCCATTTCCATAGGCTCTGCAGGAGAAAGATAGACAATATCCTGTGTAATTTACAACCTGTGAAAACTCACTGGCAGGTCAGCTCTAAGTTCTGCCTCGTTAGCAGACACATAACAATAGCAATAGTGACTCTAGTGTGGCCTAGGGACCTAGAATGAATGTGCTGATCAATTAGAAATAATCAGTTGGCAACCACCAGGCAGTCTTTCAAAGAAAAAGGAAAAAGATAAGTTGTCTACTCTCCTAAAAATTTGTTATTATTTTTTGTTATGTGCCATCACGTCACTTGTGACTCATAGCGACCGTATGTATAGTAGCTCTGACCTTGATCTAGCCTGAGCAAACCTTATTGTCTGTGATACACCTACCCTCATTTTCCTAGGAACAGAATCAATCCAACACATTGAGGGTCTTCCTTTCTTGCACTATCCTTCCACCATTCCAAGCATAATGTCCCTCTCCAAGGACTGGTCCCTCCTTGCAAAATGTCTGAAATATGTCCAATGGGGCTTCAGGATCCTTGCCTCAAAAGAGCAGCCGGGTCTCACCCTCTCTAGGATGAATCTGTTTGTTCTAGCAACCCATGGTGTGTTCAACACTCTTCTCCAACACCACAGCTCAATGGTATCAATTCTCCTTCTGTCATCCCTAGTAATTGTCCAGATTTCTGATGCATAGCAAGTAATTGTGAAAACCATGGCCTGGATAAGTCTTGTACGTTGGTCTCTAGACTGACATCGTTACTCTTCAGTACACTGGAGAGCTCCCTGACAATAGACTTTTCCAATGTAATTTGTCTTTTAATTTCTTAGCTGCTGGTACTGAGGATGTTGATTGAGGAGCCAAGCAAACTAATGTTAACAATCTAAATCTCTTCACCATCTATCATGATGCTGTCAGTCATCCCAGTGGTGAGAATATTTGTTTTCTTGATGTTGAGGTTCAATCCATATCGAAGGATGCAGTCGTAAAATTTTGTAGGGTAAAATATTCTATGGGAGGCATGGGATTGGAGGATTCCATACACTTCAGTATTGAAATTCCCATAAACTGGAAAAAAAACCCCAAAACAAACCCCCCCCCCAAAAAAAACAACACAAACCCAAATATGTCTTAGAGTACAACTAAAGTGATCCTTAGAAGTACTTCTATGTACAATAGCTGTGAACTCTGCCATATCCTGAGACAGTCTCACTGAC